CATTTTTTTTTTGTTCACAGTGACAATAAAAGAGAATAAGCACTTGATAAGTTTCGTGCGTCCGAAGCGCTTTTCTAGATTTAACTTCATCAAACACTCTCAAACCTTTAGATATATCCTGAGATATATCATAAAAACCTTATTAAATGAATAGATCACGTTTTCACTACATATATCTCTTTTCATGTTAAATAGATTACAAGTGGGTTTGTATATTCAATAAATTGAAAATTTTATCTATATAAAAATAAGATGTAGTATGATTGACAATGAGACAAGGTCACCGTACGGCCTTCGACAATGAGCAAAACCCACACCGCATAGTCAGCGATAATAGGACCCGAAAGGACAAATGAATTTTAACCGTATCATTAATATAATAAAAACACACACACATACACAAAAGTACAAGCAACGCAATATTAACAGTAGTATATCGTATCAGTGAATGTTCGCCGTTACCGAAAGCAACCCTACGTAATAAACATTCTTATGTGAAATCACTTTATTGAAGGTGTACTGATTGATATTTTTATTCTAGGAAAACATAGTATATGTGTAACTCAATTTGAACTGTCTTTCAGGTAACTGCAAAGACTCATAGATCGGTACTGTGTGTGTTTGAATGTTTGTTTGTTCTTTTTGGTTTTCGTTATTTTGTTTGTTGATGTTTTGATTTGCTTAGTACCAATCTGATGAGTCAACCCTTTCCAACTACCTTATACAGTTTGTTCTTAAATTATCTTGTTTCACCATTGTTTTTCGTTTATTGTTTTAGTATAAATCATGCCGTTGGTTTTTCTTTTGAATTGACGTACAATTGGTGTATGCGGGACCTTTTATAAGGTTACTATTCGGTGTTGGTTTTTACATCTCCTTTTTATGTACACAGAACTGTCGCCTTATAGTATTGGTATAATAGATAATTAGCTTTGACAAAGTCAAAATTATTTATATGAATAACAAAAAAATCTGTAAGTCACTTCTCTTGTATTTCATTGATTTCTTTACTTTTTTCGTTTAGATTGATGAGTTTTAGCTGTATCTAAAATTTCAGCCAAACTTTAATTTCTTTTTTGAACGTTTGTAATGGTTAATGTTTGGGTAAGTCCTCGTGCGGATAAGTTATGCCTTATTCAGTTGACTTGTCAACTGTACATATATTTTATCTAATATGAAATGTCACTTTTCGTTCATTTTTTTTTTTTTCAGTTTTAATGCTTCAATTTTGATTTCACTCTCCGCAAATAAACTACTTATATCAACGCAATTAATAACTTTAAAAAATATTATTTGGCACAAATGATACATCTCAAAAATTACAATGGGCGCAAAAGGACTGTTATTATGTATTTGATTTTTTTCTCTTTTTTTTCTTCTTTTTCCGGCAAAGTATTGGGTGTTTTTGTCCCTTGCGATATTTAATATTTCTATTTCTTAGATATATTAACCTATTTTCACCTATTTAATTCGTTGTTGTTTATATCCATACTAATAGTAGTTTACATATGCTGTCTCTCTACTCATAGTGGAAAATAAAAAGGGGGTCCATGCCCCAAGCTCCTATGTTTTATACTGCTACAGACTTTAATCTCATTTTGTGCAGTCTAATGTCTAGGTTTAGATCTATCCTTTTTTAAAAGAACCAGAAGTGTACTCATTGTTGCTACTTATACGTTTGTATAGCAAGTTACACGTAATCCAAATTGAACAGACAAAGAAGGATAACTCATATCATAATTAGTGTACCGCAGTCGAGTGGCCATAAAATGCATTGAAATGAGCTATTCACTGCAATATGTTAGTCAGAAGAATTTAACTTCCTTTTATATTTGAATTTCTGATGATATAGTGAAAAATGAATGTTGAACTAGAACGAACAAATTTCAAGATCAATTTGCCATTTACTTAGTATATGAATGTTTGCGCCATGACATCCATTATGATGAAATACGAAATTCAATTGTTTTATCACTGTAAATTGATACCCGATTTTGGGTATAGTGCCCATAGATTGGGATAGTATTCCAATTTATTAGGATCTTCCCAAACTGTTCTGTCAGAGAAAACGAGTCAAGTACACGTTTAATTCCAATCATAATGTTAGTGTGCATGTACAGTGTATTTCGATCGCAAACATTAATATACGTGCACTGCTAGTCAGAATTTCAAGAAAACTTTTCAGAAGAAATTAATCTTGTTGATATCAGAGACATATAATACATGTCTCTGTTGAAATTAACGAATCGAATTTAAATGACTCAATAGTAAGTAACAGTATTAGGGGACATCCTTTTCTTCGCCGTTAAGGAAGGGTCGGTCCAATTTTGCTTTATTAAAGTACAATCGCCGAAATACTAAGCATGAATAACCAATATCTAAATGGCTCAGAACAGTTGGTACATTTTCATGGTTCTCATATAAATAAAACAAAACTTTTTTTCTCAAAAAACTAAGGATATTCTACACAGGAATAGATTACTTTAGCTGTATTTTGCACACCTTTCGGAATTTTGGGTCCTCGGTGCTCTTCAACTTCGTACTTTATTTGGCCTTTTAAACTTTTTTTATTCTTGCGTCACTGATGAGTCTTTTGTAGACGAAACTCGCGTCTGGCAATTTTAAGCCTGGTATATATATATATATATATATGGTGAGCTTATGTATAAAATACATCTAACACGAATGAAATAGACATAAACAAAAATACAAGAAATAAACTATAAACAAGAGAAGAATTCATTCTAAAAATAATATTACTGTAAAAGAGAACCATAAGCCTAAAAAATATATTCTTAGAAAAATTTAAATCAAGTTATGAAGAAAGTGAAATGATCGTGTACAGTAAAATAAAGACAAAACATGAATATGACAAAAATGTATTCTTTAAAATAATTTTAAAATTGAAAAATATTTTCTGTAAAATGCGTGTAAGTGACCATTTCTTCGGAAACAGAGAAAGATAGAAAAGGATAGATATAAAAGAATTCAAAGAGAAAATAGAATTTGTAAACATTGTAATATTAATGAGGTTGAAGTTGAAACTTTATTTTCTTAACATGTGAAATTAATAAATCTTTACGTAAACATCTTGAACAAGATATAAATAATATTCCTCCAGGATATACAGAATTCTTACAGACTCAAATGGACAAGAATTGAATATTGGAATCTTCTGAATAATTCTAGCTCATTAGCATTTGAAATTTATGAAAACGTTGTGACTAGCGTTGATTTGAACTGTGACCTATTTGAAAAAAACCATAACAATAGTCTAATGAGGTTGTTGCATGCCTTTATATTTATCAGTACAATATAACTAATATTATCTAAGAAGCGGGCTTTGTTAAACTGGACCCCTGTTGCGTTCACTTATCGCTACACTAACTATAAGGAATGTAATCTCTGCATTAATTAACTATAATTCTTCGTCTGGGTTTGACTACACATTTCGTCTTTTTCGGTTATATCTGCTCTTCAGCATTTGTATCAGGTTTTGAATTTTCAATCATTTTGACTTTGATCATCGCTGAAGAGATATTGATTGTCGAAGTACGCATTTTGTACAGTGTATTGGTACCGTTTAATATTACTTTACATTCAGGCGTGTTTGAGTGTATTGTTCTTCAGATTCTATCATTTTTATAAATTAAGGCTTACTGTTTCACCAAATTCCTTAAATTGAAAAAAAAATATGTTGATTAAGTGAAACGCCCGTATAACAAGTTATCAATACAGATGAACTGTCCCGTGCTACTCATTGTCGGATACATCAGTTTACTGACAGTCCCTTTAAATTTCAGCCACCCTTGGCGACAGACTGGTAAATCTGGGACTATTATACTAACATATATATTATGTCCCAAGGTAAATGTAAGGCTTAATAAATGCATCCATTAAAAACAAATTATTTGTATGTCTTTTTGGGTTATTTGTCTTCGTTTCTGAAAAATCCTAGTTTGTATTTTCATGAAATATTTCATAGAATATTTTCGTGTGTAATCGAGCTCTCGAAAATTTACAATGACAACAAACAAGATAAAAATTTAAAGTAGTATGAAAGCATAAAATAATATTAAATGGTGATACTTAAGTAAAAGTTATATTTGCCTTTCAAAACGAACTTTAAATAAAGGACCTTAATGATACAAAGTCAATAAAACGAAAAAGAGCTATTATGAAAAGTAAAATAACGAAAATTCCGAACTCCAAGGAAAATTCAAAACGGAAAGTCCCTTTTCAAACGACAAAATCATAAGCTCAAACACATCAAACGAATAGAAAACATCTGTCATATTCCCGACTTGGTACAGGGAGTGGTGATGCTAGACTTGGTACAGGGAGTGGTGATGCTAATCTTGGTACAGGGAGTGGTGATGCTAATCTTGGTACAGGGAGTGGTGATGCTAATCTTGGTACAGGGATTGGTGATGCTAATCTTGGTACAGGGAGTGGTGATGCTAATCTTGGTACAGGGAGTGGTGATGCTAATCTTGGTACAGGGATTGGTGATGCTAATCTTGGTACAGGGAGTGGTGATGCTAATCTTGGTACAGGGACTGGTGATGCTACCTTTCTCTTGATAAAAACATCCCAATACATTATGTGAGGTGAAAATTCTAACAAAGTAAAAATCTGCCTGGAATAAACAAACTTATAGTTAAAATCATATTTATCTATTGTAAAGAGGACTTGGTCATCTATATAAATAGTTGGAATGCTATTAAAATAAATTAAAATTTAATGTCTAATTCGCATTTTAATAAGTTTGCATCATTGATAAGATAGCCAGGTTTGTGAAACTTTATTCTCTTATTTGATGTTCTTACATCTTATATCAGTTAAAATATAATTTACAAGTCATATTATTGCTAACTATAATGAAAGTTAGAACTTTTCAAGCACTATAACAATAAAATAAAATTGAGATGATTTATAACGTACATATACATGTACATATTATGTAAAGCATAAAAAGTATAAAATAAAAATATGTGAGTATAAAATACAACATAAAAAAACACATCTTGGTACAATACTGTACTGCGTAACTATATAGATATAGTATATTTTCCCTAAAGTGTATAGTAAAGACTTTTGCAAAAAAAAGGAAAACAATTGAACAAGTAAATAAACATATTTTTATGTTCTGTTGATAACAACAACGTCAGTAAATGAATAATTAAGGACTGGTGCTCTAAACAGCCTGTATCAAATGATACATGAATAAATAAGAACTGGTGCTCGAAGCAGCCTCTATCAAATGATACATGAATAGATAAGGACTGGTGCTCTAAACAGCTAAACAGCCTGTATCAATTGATACATGAATAAATAAGGACTGGTGCTCTAATCAGTCTGTATCAAATGATGCATGAATAGATAAGAACTGGTGCTCTAAACAGCTAAACAGCCTGTATCAATTGATACACGAATAAATAAGGACTGGTGCTCTAATCAGTCTGTATCAAATGATGCATGGATAGATAAGAACTGGTGCTCTAAACAGCTAAACAGCCTGTATCAATTGATACATGAATAAATAAGGACTGGTGCTCGAAACAGTCTGTATCAAATGATACATGAATAGATGAGGACTGGTGCTCTAAACAGCTAAACAGCCTGTATCAATTGATAAATGAATAAATAAGGACTGGTGCTCTAAACAGTCTGTATCAAATGATACATGAATAGATAAGGACTGGTGCTCTAAACAGCTAAACAGCCTGTATCAATTGATAAATGAATAAATAAGGACTGGTGCTCTAAACAGTCTGTATCAAATGATGCATGAATAGATAAGAACTGGTGCTCTAAACAGCTAAACAGCCTGTATCAATTGATACATGAATAAATAAGGACTGGTGCTCTAAACAGTCTGTATCAAATGATACATGAATAGATAAGGACTGGTGCTCTAAACAGCTAAACAGCCTGTATCAATTGATACATGAATAAATAAGGACTGGTGCTCTAAACAGTCTGTATCAAATGATGCATGAATAGATAAGGACTGGTGCTCTAAACAGCTAAACAGCCTGTATCAATTGATACATGAATAAATAAGGACTGGTGCTCTAAACAGTCTGTATCAAATGATGCATGAATAGATAAGAACTGGTGCTCTAAACAGCTAAACAGCCTGTATCAGTTGATACATGAATAAATAAGGACTGGTGCTCTAAACAGTCTGTATCAAATGATACATGAATAGATAAGGACTGGTGCTCTAAACAGCCTGTATCAAATGATACACGAATAAATAAGGACTGGTGCTCTAAACAGCCTGTATCAAATGATGCATGAATGAATAAGGACTGGTGCTCTAAACAGCCTGTATCAAATGATACATGAATAAGGACTGGTGCTCTAAACAGCCTGTATCAAATGATACATGAATAGATAAGGACTGGTGCTCTAAACAGCCTGTATCAATTGATACATGAATAAATAAGGACTGGTGCTCTAAACAGTCTGTATCAAATGATACACGAATAAATAAGGACTGGTGCTCTAAACAGCCTGTATCAAATGATACATGAATAGATAAGGACTGGTGCTCTAAACAGCCTGTATCAAATGATACATGAATAGCTCAAGACTGGTGCTCTAAACAGCCTGCATCAAATGATACATGAATAGAGAAGGACTTGTGCTCTAAACAGCCTGCATCAAATGATACATGAATAGAGAAGGACTAAATGATTCATGAATAAATAAGGTCTGGTGCTCTAAAAGAGGGACGAAAGATACCAGAGGGACAGTCAAACTCATAGATCGAAAACCAACTGACAACGTCATGGCCAAAAATAAAAAGACAAACAGACAAATAATAGTACAGATGACACAACATAGAAAACTAAAGACTAAGCAACACGAACCCCACCAAAAACTGGGGGTGATCTCAGGTGCTCCTTAAATTGCCTTTATCGCTCACATACATCTCTGTCCAATGTTAACAATGGTCACACACTTAGTCAATCTGCCTTAGTTATATATTACTCAGCAATGTGTAGGGATTTTCAGACAATATTTGTTGTAGGTAGTTTCACAACTGTTATGAAGCCTAATTAGATAAAAGGTAAGTAAATTTTATTTAGAGTCGGACATGATATGTACAAATTAACAGAGTAAGCATTAGCTGTATGGAGCTTTTAACCGATTCTGTTTACTGTGAAGCATTAAATAGGCCAATAAATGTAACATTGTGTGTAAGGACATGTTTGTAATTTTGTATGAGGTAAAGTGTTATCTATCATTGGATTATATCTGAACATTATGTTGTTTTTTTTTCGATCCAAACATAGTTATCACCCTTTTGCTCTAGAACTTTGATTCAAATTGGTCTAGTAGTTTCAAAGAAGCTGACGAAAATGTGTAAAATTACTTACGACGGAAGCCAAGGTAGAGCAATATATCACTGCGGCCATTTTGACAGTAGAGTTGACATATAAATGAGTAAAACAAATTAAACAATAAATAAATGAATATATAAAAACAGATGAAAACCATACGTAACTGAGACAGTAATATAAAAACAGGATATATTTGTAACGAATTTCTGTAAGTTTAGTTCAAGTTCCATTTTCATGACTTCTATGCATTTGAAAATCTTGTGATACCAGATAAAGATGGTTATCATGCAGGCATTGGACCAACCTGAAATTAATCAGAAAAGACAATTTTTAAACATTGTTACGGTCTTCTTATGCAATTATAACTTAACAAATCGTGTTCTATGACGTAGTTTTGACGTATACAGCTACCCGACTACTCAAAACCATAAAACAATTTTAAAATATTGAGAAAAAAAAACACTAGAAATTAAGGGTTGAATTGTATACGTATGACGTGAATGTAGCTCAAGTTTAGATATGATTAAATATCAAATAGTGGTCCTTAAAAAAAGAACAACTATATATCAACGTGAAATGAATATCTCTAAAGTATCAATTAAAGATTTGAGTTACAAAAATTATATGATGTGTTTTGATTCTCTGAGAAAATTTACAAGTTATCTTATTTTGATGAGAGATACTGAAGATATATTCATGTTAATTACCCTCGTTATGCATTTTGTGGCGTAACAGTAAATAAACATTGCTACTGCTACCAAACCGGCTCCTCCGACAACAGAGACTACAATGATGACTGTAAAATAAAAACGATCGAAATGTATAGAATAAATAACATTTAATGTAAAGTTATGTTATTTAACGAATTAGCATAATTGGGGGACGACCATTTCATTTTCTGGGCATTGGTGGACAACAGGGACTCGGTAAGCGGAGATATATTTTATCTTAAATCGTTGTATATTTTATGACTTTTTTGTTTGTTTTTCGTATTTCCTGTCTATTTGTATCTAATTATCAATATCTGCACAAAGATTTGTATGTTTAATATCAATATGCAATTTACTATCCATGTCCTCATATTGAAAAAAAAATCTAAAGGGATCTAAGTCGCCATTTTGAATAGCCTAGCCGTCTTCAAATAGAAAAATAAAATATTCGTATACAAACGAATATAACCATGCAGCGTGATTGAATTTTGCAAAATAATATAAGATGCACATAGTTGTGAATCACATGTCCTGAAAAAAACCTAAAGGGATCTAAGTCGCCACTTTGAATAGCCTACCCGTCTTCAAATAAAAAAACATTAAATATTCATATACAAACGAATATAACTATGCAGCGTAATTCAATTTTGCAAAAAAGTATTAGATGTACAAAGTTGTAAATCACTACCTATATTTTGTAGGTTATGCAGGTATAGTAATAGCTTGCTGTTCGGTGTGAACCAAGGCTCCGTGTTGAAGGCCGTACTTTGACCTATATAATTGTTAACTTTATATACATTGTGACTTGAATTGAGAGTTGTCTCATTGAGACTCATACCACATCTTCTTATGTATATTTAGTGTAAAAAATGTTAAAAAGACGTTTTTGCTTGAAGTCGATTCCATCTCACAAACTTTTCGAATATTCGAAACGTAGTCATAAAAATTTAAATCAAAGAACAATATATATATAAGTCCTTTGAAACTGATCAGACATTTAAATTTTTTGATGACGCAGTCTTATATCTATATTATTTTGGGAGTGTCCTTTTAGTTCTTGTATATTTTTATAGAATATAAGTATCATTTTCTCTATTTCAGAAACGTAGACATATTTCTAAACTTTTTCAAAAAATTATTATCATTTAATTACTTGTAATGATAGGATCATCAGTAGTAATAGTGCTCTCTGTAGTAGTGCTTTCTGCTGTTGTACCATCTGTTGGTGTTATAATTGGAGTTGTCTCTTCTATTATTGTTATAATTGGAGTTGTAGCTTCAGTTGTTGTAATAACTGCAGTTGTAGCCTCGGTTGAAGTGGATTCAAGTTTTGTCATCTCAGTCGTTGTCATAACTGTTGTTATTATAACTGGAGTAGTAGCTTCTGTCGTTGTAATAACTGGTGTTGAAGCCTCGGTTGTAGTGTCTTCCAGTGTTGTCATTTCAGTTGTTGTCATAACTGTTGTTTTTATAACGGGAGTAGTAGCTTCTGTCGTTGTAATAACTGGTGTTGAAGCCTCGGTTGTAGTGTCTTCCAGTGTTGTCATTTCAGTTGTTGTCATAACTGTTGTTGTTATAACTGGAGTAGTAGCCTCGGTTGTTGTGCTATCCAGTGTTGTCATTTCAGTCGTGGTCATAACTGTTGTTGTAGCCTCTGTCGTAGTACCTTCTGGTGTTGTAGTCTCCATTGTTGTCTTTACTGACATAGAAGCCTCGGTTGTTGTGCTATCCAGTGTTGTCATTTCAGTCGTGGTCATAATTGTTGTTGTAGCCTCTGTCGTAGTGTCTTCCGGTGTTGTAGCCTCTGTTGTTGTTACAATTGTCGTAGTACGTTCCGGTGTTGAAGTCTCCATTGTTGTCATAACTGACGTAGAAGCCTCAGTTGAAGTGCTTTCCAGTGTTGTCATTTCAGTCGTTGTCATATCTGAAGTTGTTGCCTCTGTCGTAGTAACTTCCGGTATTGTAGTTTCTACTGTTGTTATAACTGTCGTAGTGACTTCCGGTGTTGTAGTGTCTACTGTTGTCATAACTTGAGGTGTAGTCTCCATCGTTGTGCTTTCTTTGGTCGTCATCCCAGTTGTTTTCACATCTTCTGTTGTAGACTCGTCTTGAGCACACGTTTTACAGCAGGAGATTTCTCTTGTATTTGTATCATAATTAGGGCAATCAGTTTTTACACAATCACTAATACGATCGCCATATTCACATCCTGTGAAGAACAATGTTAGCATAGGGTGAAATAAGTATTAACAGCTTTTAAGACTTGGCTGTAAATTTTTAATAAATACAAACTTCATAAGGCTTCGCCTCGGTTGACAATGTATTCTGGGGATATCAATCTGCTCTGTCACTTTCTCATCTATGTGTTATTTATATAATAATATACATTCATTAAATATCTTTACGCAAGGTGATAACTTGGAAAAACTAAGCAGTCTTCTACTCAGTAAAATATATACTTTACAGTCCTCGCAAACATATTTTGATTATGTCTAGCGATGATTTAATTTATATTTGTAGTTAATGTTTAGATATAAAAATAAGGAGATGTGATATGATTATTTATGATTTAAGGTTATTATACGCTTAAAATACTTACATTGAAATTAAGGTCTATAAAAATCCAACTTCATATACCAGTATAAATCACTAACTCCGACAGGCATGAAAACAAGTTATCAAACCAGAGAGAGTTCAATTTATTGCTAAATACACTGGATGAATAAATCTGACATTTAAGAATAGCAATGTGAGCCGTGATATAACTATGACACCCGAAACATTATTAAAATGCTATTTTTGCCCTTTTATTCTGATTATACAAATTCGTTTTAAGTCGAATTTAATATCAGCCTATGCCTTATCCAAAAATAGAAATTACCCACCTTAACATCTTTTTCTAAGACTATGATAGCAAAGTATCTTTTTGAGTAACGTCTTTTATAATATCTTAAATTACTAAAAAGATCTCAAAATGAGGCCTATTTGACAGGTTTTTTTTTTGTAGTTTTGCATAAACTTGAAGAAGTATCAAAACTCTAAAGCAAATCTATAAGAAGAAACTCAAAATTATTAATGTTGATATCTAACGTTAAAATGTCTTTTTTTTAATGTTTTTGACATATGTATAATACTCTTTTTTATTTTTTTTGAAAGGATAAAATAGTGCCCTGATCATATCAACTCCTTGCTGCATTTATGGGGCAAAATAAGACCTAAAACGTCCCTTGTTCTTTACTTGCAAAACTCGTTCAGAAATTAGATACACATACCACGAAATAATGGTACTTTTAAACAAAAAACCCAGAAGATTAAACTGAAAGAATGTCATCAATTGTCCATGCTTGTGGTCTCTGAGCGATGAGCCAGATTATAATAAAGTAAATGCAACAAATTAAGAGACAACATGGATAAACAATAAAGGTTCCAATCTTGGTTAAGGATAAATGAAACGTAAATTTTATAAATCTGACCTGTAATTCCTGTATAATACTTCTGACATATTCCACAGCAGTATATTGGATTATAATACTGATCATAACAGAAATGTGGATTAGGAATGATTTCGCCAGCACAAAATGGAGCATCTCCTAGTACACAGGAAGCTGTCAATTGATAAAAAATAACATTTAAATCTACATAAATATGATTATATGTTTCGCGTAATTTGTTCGTATTGGTGTCTATAGGTTTTCTCTCCAGACGGCTGGAGAAGGACCAACAAATGTTTCTGTTCATGTTTTTTAGTATTAAATAGCTACTATATTTGCTGCCTGAACTTTTCGCTGGAGAAAGACCATAGGCCTAGATCAGCTGCAGGTGAAAATTCCAATAGGAATATCAAAGCCATATTTGTATTATTTTACCTCTACAAATCCTTGCCCTTATCGAATAAATAAATAATACCAATAAAACATCGGGTGACGTGATTGACATCTAAATAAAAATTGCCACCGTCAGTTACATTTTGAACAACGCTGGAGATGATATCAAAATGAACATTTGTATTGGTGTTCCTTGCTAGGACTTTAAATGAAATGAAATTTACATGTATCTGTTCATTTTTCAATCGAAAAACGGTTGTTTTTTATAACGTTTTGACCTCATCAAATCGATATGGTTGCCTTTTGATAGTGTCTTGTAGTTCTTAATTTTTTAATTTTCCTATTTGAATGGAAATAATTTTATCATTAAAGTTGTCAACACTTACACCTCGCTCACGCTTAGTACAGATATATTTACAAATAGAATTCTTACCCATGTTAAAATTATCATGGATAATGACATGAAAGAACTATTTCTTATATAGCTGCATAATATGATTGGAACAGATTCTATAACCTTTCGCCCCTTTTTAAAGGTAAACGTTAAAAATCAAGAGAAAAGCAAAATAAACTTTAAAAAAAGTTGTACTTGAATAACTAACTTACAGTTCGCTGATTGTGCTCGGACATCTTCACAACATTTGCCAGCAATACACCACTGAAATATAATATAAGTGGTTTTTTTTCTAATTTGGTTAAGTTGAACCAAGATTCAACCTGATTGAATATCTAACTTATATCAGTAATGTTAATTGGTGTGCCTCATTTTAAACATTGACCATTTCGAATGAGAAAAAAAGTAGGGACGGAACTTATTAATTGGTAAATAAATGTTACCTTTCCGTCACCACATAAAGTTCCCTCCCAAGGTATATGTATGCTACAAAAGTTTGTGTCTGGTACTTTACAATACATGTATTTACAAACTGTTGTAGGATCTTGATAGTGCTGGTTCTGAAAAAAAAAGTATAATTATTTGCAATTACATGTGTACCATAAAAAATGATGATATGAACTTCCTGTAAAACTTCATGTAAATAAATGATTAGTATTAAGATATTAAACAAAAGATGTGGAACAGGATCTTCTAACCCTTCCGGAGCACTTGAGATTACCCCCAGTTTTTTGTGGGGTTCATGTTGCTCAGTCTGTAGTTTTCTATGTTGTGTTTTGTGTCTGTTTGAATTTTTCTTTTTAGCCATGGCGTTGTGTGTTTATTTTCGACTTATGAGTTTTAATGTCCCTTTGGTATCTGTCGCCTTTCTTTCATTTATCCTTATACTGAATACTCATTGACTATAAACCTGTCTATGCAATAAGTTGAAAGCTAAAATAAGTTATTATCATATTTATACATACATTTGTTCCTGTTATTATGTTCGATATAGTTTAAGTACACAGTTTATTAACATCCAATGAATTAAGACAACAGTAGTTTACCGATGTTCAAATCTTAAAAATCGATTAGGAAGACAAATCAAACAAAAACTGAGTAAATCGCATTAACTCCAGGATGAGCGATACTAGGTGCGTCTATATGGTAAGCGTCCTGCTATGCATTCTCAATAAGTATATGAATTAAAGAACTTTGCAAGATATTTTTTTCTAAAAAGATTTTGTACAAATTCTACATCTTAATAGTATAAACCAGTCGGCAAGTAAGAGTGCACAATTAGTACCAATTCGAATACCGACTGTCTGTTCAAATATCGATTTGTCAAACTCAATAAATATCAAGCATTTTGATAATATCGTCTCCGGGTTTTTTTTTATTTTTGGATTCCGTGCAATTCTTTAAAAAGTAAGATTTTTCGTGACCTAAAACAAAAAATTCGTATCTACGATTCAAATTTGTGTAGAAAAAAGTAAAATAACTCCAAGGAAAATTCAAAACAGAAAGTTCTTTATAAAATGGCAAAATCAAAAGCTCAAACACATCAAACGAATGGAAAACAACTGTCGTATTCCTGACTTAGTATTGACATTTTCTTCATGTAGAAAATGGTGGATTAAACGTGGTTTTTTAGCTAAATATACCTCTCACTTGTATCACATAATTCCATTACATTGACAACGATGAGCGAGCAAAACAAACAGACATTATTATAAGTAAACATGTCAAAATAATGGGGTACAGCAGTCAACATTGTGTTATAGTCTTAATCACTATAAAAACAAATAACTATTTCAACAAAGAAAAAGAAATTGACATATAGACACTCTATAAACAAAGTACATAAGCGAAAATAAAAGACAAGATTATAAGATTACCATTTTACAATAACACAATGACTGGATGTATAAATACCGAGCCACGCCAAAAGTATATTACCAAAAATGGACTTAATAGTAAAGGTTAAATATATACAAAGACAAATAAAAAGAACACTATAACACGTGATTAAGATGAAAATCCGCTGGCTTTTTTTGTAGAAAAAGAAAGGCTCATTTACATATTTGACACATGATACATGTACATGGGGATAGTTTTGTTAAGAATTATACTACAATAATGTTAGTGTGTCCATCGTATAATATCACCAATGCACATTAAACTGCAAACATAATATGAAAATTTGGCAGAAGATACAAATTGTAACCGGTAATTTCAATCAAATAAAAAGCAAAAGATTTACGAAGCACGTTTACCAAGTCAGGGAATATGATAGTTGTTTTTGGTGTGATTTTGTCAGGTTAATGGACTTCCACCTTTTTAAATACATTTTCAAGGTGTTTGGTATTTTTATTAAGATTTTTTTTATTAAGATTTCTTAAATACCAAATTTCACACAGGCAGTAGATCTGATGGTAATCTAACAATCTAGTGTAAGGTATTTGGATTGTAACAACAGGATAGTTTACCATTAGTCCTTATGTTTTTCTACAGTTAAGTAGTAAGTTTAAAAAAAATTGCAAAATTTACATTTGTAAGGGGCCTTAATAAAGTACTATTAATAAGCTGAAGGACGCCTCCGGGTGCGGGAGTTTCTCGCTGCATTGAAGACCCATTGGTGGCCTTCGGCTGTTGTCTGCTCTATGGTCGGGTCGTTGTCTCTTTGACACATTCCCCATTTCCATTCTCAATTTTACTAAAATTGTTAGCTCAAATGTATTGCATAGATTTGAGGCATTTATATGTTCTTTTTAAGGCATTTTGGTTTTTAGTGTAGATTTTTTAAGTTCTCTTTTTATTTCATTCAAGTAGTCTAGACTTAAGTGAGAAAAAGTTTTACATAAACTCCTTATTGAAGGCTATATTGATAAGAAGATATCAAATTGATTGAATTGGTGATTTTTTTCTCAATAAAACCTTCCATCCTTTAGTATATTTATGATTTGTGAAAGGGTTATGCTTTATTATCTTAAGCAGAGAAATTAAAGGCTTAAAAAAAAGTCTTACGTACCCTACAAAGATATGAATCTTTATGATTTCTATTTTGCATACATTGTTCGTCGTGATTATATATCTGTCCTTGTAACGTATTATTGTACTTGTCAAGTGCTGAAGGATCATGGTTTGCTGACAATGATGCCATGCAGTTGAAATTATTCCTGAAAATCAAAATAAAATTCATAATCATTTCCTTTAAAGTTTCTTTACTCCTTTGGAATCTTATATTTAGTATTTGATTTAGCATCCGGCAACCAAATGTCTGAAATAATTTCAGTTTAGTTTTTAGCAATAATATGACGTTGACTCTTGACGTACTGATCTCAAAATCTATACAGATCTCCATTTATTCCACTGATAGCAAAATCATAATTTGATTGGTTGAGAACATCACAAAATTTCATATTCACCTCTGAGTATCATATTCCCCTCTGAACATCGGGACAACCTCGTGTGACGCTATACGCGTTGAAAGTGCTTAATATTTTGCACGTTTTCAAATAGCGATGGTATATTAAATATCGTGTTCTAAATAATTTCAGACGTAAAAGCGAAACAGAAAAAAAACATGTCACAGAATTGATAAATAACTTATGATCGGTTCTGAGTATGCCTTATATAGTTATAAAAGCACACGGATATGAACAATTATCTTCTATGAATATCATTGGTTACAATGGAACGCGTGGAGACCGTTTATATTTCACATGGGGTTAGAAGGCGTGGTTTATTTAAATACACAGTTAGCAGTGGTGTTATGTTCCTTTATCAGAACAACACGGCGTTGAGGAAAAATCTGAAACGTGTCACCCGGACAAAAGATGAAGAAATTGATGATGATGTGAAATAAATGCAGAAAACACATTAAAAGCTAACAAGTTGTTACTGTTGGCAATGGAAGAAGGTTCTTAATATTGAAGAATAGATCACTATGATAGGCCACTAATCTAAAAACCACATGTTAAGATAGCCGGTAAAATAAATTCGTTACACAGTGTGCTAGTGACCTAATACGATATATATGAGTTCAGTAAATTACATATGGGGTTCGAGCTTCGCTCTCACCTCATATGGAATTCATTGACCCCATATATATCGTATTAGGTCACTAGCAATCTGTGTAACAAATATTATATGTAAATTACTATTTTATGTTCAGGAAGTAAAAAATGGCAGTGGAATATAACATTTTCTTTAGCTAAAGGGGATAAGAATATTTGTCCTCCCTCGAAAAGTCATACTTCACTCCGGCGATGCTTTCGGGAAATCCGAATTTTCTTTGGTGAACAAATAATCATATCTTTATAACACAAGGAAAATAAAAATATAATGTTTGATCATGGGAAGGAAAGATTGAGTCAGGTTGAAATTCAATTAAAAAATTTTGAGTGAGCGTCTAGAAATAATATTACTATCTGATTGACTGACGGATTAACAGACTGTCCGACTGACAAGACTTACGGATAGGAAAAAGTAAATATCCCCCAATTTCGTAGCGTTTGGTATAATTCTGGTATTCCAATATTGATCAAGTTTTATATACATCTGAGAAAAGTCAACTATAAACCGAACTACGTTTTGTCGATGTTCATATCGACTCCCTGTATGGTACGTTTTGTCGGTGTTCATATCGACTCCCTGTATGGTGCGTTTTGTGTTTTGTAATAGGAAAGTTTTTACAACAAAAACGTAACCAAAAGCAGCTCTACTATGACAGTATAACTACACCTATTAAGACACTATGATGCATTAACTACTTGTATTCAATTTTAACACAGACGAAAAAGAAAATATGAAATTAAAATACACAAATATAAGTCGAAAAAACTTACTGGTTGAGTTCATCTATATACTCTTTAAAGTAGTCAATGGAGCAGTTTGAAAAAATATAGTGATTTGTTGCTTTCTCGTCTCTTCTTGCAAAAGCACTCGGTGCCATAACGTATCTGTCATCGGCAGAGCAGTTATTCTTACTCGAAATATCATGGGAAGCTCCTAAACTGAAACGAAATTATTAGAATCTTAATACATATGTTAAGCTTCTATTTCCTTTTTTTAATATATTTACAAGAAAATAATCTCTTAAAATTCCCAAAACTAAAAGCTAATATTACTCCGGTGTGTGTATATTTTTCTTTTTTAATTTCGCCGATCCTGATATTACCTATGTTGTATATTTGTATGTTTTATTTGAATTAAGTACTAGTACAGAACATAAACACCAAACTGTTAATTGTTTGCGTTTAAATAAAGAAACTTGTATTTTATTGTATTGCGACCGAATATTTATTTTTATAAACATTAAATTCATTACTTATCATATTTGTTATCAAAATTATCAAATTTACACAAACAAAATATTCCTAATGTTTAACAACATGCTTGTATATCTCTAGATGGTATAACTGGTTTGACAGTATGTATATGTATCTCTGTATAAATGGTATTAGTGGTTTGACAACTTGTCTATTTATCTCTATATAAAAGGTATTAGTGGTTTGACATCATGTCAGTTTATCTCTGTATAAATGTATCTCATTTGTTTGACAGCATATCTTTTATTGATTTCAGGGCTTCAGTGCCCTAGTGGACTTAGTAGTTCAACTATTCTGTCACTAGCCTGTCAACAATGAGCTTGTGAGCTCGACCCACGCACGTGGCAGGTGCGCTCAACTCCAATCTTAATTGACAAGGATTGTCAGTTTTCCTGCCGAAGGTCGGTGGTTCTCTCCTGGCACTTCGGCTTCCTTCACCATAAAACTGACCGCACGCAAAATCTAATAGTGCTGCATTTGGCGTTCAACATCAATCCATCTATCAATCAATTAATCAATATTATTTATTTCTATATAAATGGCATTTGTGGTTTTACAACATGCATATATATCTTTATATAAGTGGTATCAATGGTTTGACATCATTTCTATTAATAATCTCTATGTAAATTGTATAACAGAATGTATATTTATTCCTATATAAATGGTATCAGTGGTTTGGCAGCACATCTATTTATCTCTATATAAATGGTATCAGTGTTTTGACAACATGTCTTTTTATCTCTATATAAATGGTATGAGTGGTTTGACCGTCATATTTATATATCTCTATATAAATGGTATGAGAGGTTTGACAGCATGTCCATTATTTATCTCTATATGAGTGGTATCAATGATTTCACAACATGTCTATTTATCTGTATATAAATGGTATCAATAGTTTGACAGAATGTCTATTTATTTCTATAAGTGGTTTGACATCACATCTATGTATCTCTACGTAATAGGTATCAGTGGTTTGACAGTATGTCTAGTTATCGCTATATTAGAGGTATCGGTGGTTTGACAGTATGTATATGTACTTCTATATAATGTCTATTTATCTCTGTATAATGTCTATGTATCTCTATATAATGTCTATGTATCTCCTTATAAATTGTATCAGTGTTTTAACAACATGCCTATATATCTCTATATAAATGCTTTGTCCGATAGCAGTATCGCAAACGTATACCCAACATCTCTTTTCATTCATGAATACCTCAAGATAAAGATATTTTGAAAGGAGAAAGTATAGTTTGGAATAAAATTGACCCTTAAATCAAGTGTATTTCAAAGAATCCTTACTTTGTAAAATCAAATGAAAGTTGAATTTAAGTTATATATAACAGGTTTGGTCTAAAATATACCCTTTTCATGCGTCGATAAAATGTTAGGCTAGTTCAGTAAAAAAGCGGGTTTGGAACTGTTGACATGCAAATTATCACTGTAAATGAACACAACTAGGCTACCGAGGCCCCCTGTGTAGTTGGAAAAGTTATAAACTCTAGGATGCACTAGATATATAAAGTTAAATGTACTTTATATTTCAGAAAGATAAAATCCTTTTGGGGAATTTGATAGGCATTTATATTCCCCGTTCCTGCAGTAGGTGTTAGCAAACTAAAGGTAATTTTTTTTTGAAATGTCCAAACTCGGGTAACAACTGTATTGTATTGTATTGTTTGATATGAACAATAGAAAACACAACAAAAGGTGATTTAAACAGTGTAACTGAGGGGACAGTATCACTTATTATTCAGGTGTATTTATTTTACCATCATCTGCAATGATGAAAAATTCTAGTAAACCCCAAGGGATGACAGCTTTGAACCATAAAAAGACATGTCATAAAAGTCAGATTGGTAGAAATTACAAACCAGTTACTTTTCTTAATTGCCGTATTCAACTGACACAAAACTTCATTTTGTAGATGGGAAATGAAAAGAGCATTACAACTTACTTGTTTTGCATATTTGTTATATATCATTCTGAGTGCCAAATAAAATTATGACTTACTTATGACCAAGTTCATGTGCTGCTACAAGACCTACAATTGCTTTGCCTTTATCTTCAACAATGGAATTCTCATAGTAAGCATTGTATCGTACTTTAAAGCAAATTGCTTTGACCCATGCTAAACCTGTAATTAATAATTAATAATAAAGATTCTTCAAATTTACGATATAATTTTGTATACAACATGATTCTATATAAAAACATAGCGGAAATAGACACCTGCTAAGTATAATGATAAACCAAACTACAGTAAAATGGACGGGTTTATGTCTTTAACTGACTCTCAATATCTATGACTAAAATCTTCAGTGTGTTTTAACGAACGGTATCATTAAATTTATCCTTACATGTTTAAAACTATTACTGCTTAGTTTTTCTTATTGATGAAATATATTATACTTTCACCTCATACATTTATGGGTCTTATTGTTATCAGTAAATCTTGAAATCAGATACTTTATGTTTACACATGTAATCTTTCTGAAGTGTTAATTTGGTTTGTATGTTTTCGTCTTTTTTTGTTTTTTGTTGTGTTCTTTCGCAACAGATGATTTCTCATTACCCCTTTTTTTTTATCAAATTAGATCATCGTCTAACTTTTGGAATTTTTGACATCAATGCTCTTCAACTTTGTTCTTAATTAGGCATTTTAACATTTTTTATTCGAGCGTCACAGATGAGTCTTTGAAGACGACACGTGCGTCTGGCGTACACCATTATAAGTCTCGTATCTTTGATAAATTGGTAGCCTTGGTCGGGTTGTTGTCTCTTTGACACGTTCCCCGTTTCCATTCTCAATTCTATTGTTCATCCTTTTCTACTGAGCTGTACAACTTACATACCTAGAAGGCTTAAAGATGGTCCAGATGATGTATTTCTAAACAAATCATACCTTTGATAAAAATTTAAATAATATTTAAGTCAATTATGCAATGGTATTTCTTTTAAATTATATCATGTTGAATAAGAGTGGATGTTATATGACCAGAAACAATCATCTGCTATTCTGTAAATAAAATATTCTCCATAGTCTTAGAACATGAAAAAAGCGGTTTTTTTCAACATAATTACTATACATGTACTATATATGAAAATAAAGTGTGTGGTGAACCATTTGGATCGGAAAATACCACCATATGTTTCAAGAGTAGGGAGAGAAATACAAATCATGTGAATACACAGAACCCCGATCTAATCCTTCTTTTGCTAAACGAGTTCATTATTCCCTGTTTTATATCTACTAAAAGCATTCTATTTCACCATAATTTCCATTTTAGTATGCGAATATCTGCATCAAAAATAATTATGGTCAACATTAAAATTCCGCTGATTGGTTGATCCAAATGGTTCACCACACACTTTATTTTCATATATAGTACATGTATAGTAATTATGTTGAAAAAATTACTTTTCGGAACTCATTGAATGATGCTTTAATGAAGTTCTTCCACAATAGTTTTTGTTAAGTGATGGTGCAGAGTAAGTCTTCCGCCAATTGAACCCAATTAATTATAATCCCTTTTTGCAGAAATATAACTATTGTAAAGAGAAATAAGAATGCGGACTGAAACAATATTTTGGTCAAAATCATTTTCATTCGGATTTACTATTTTTTATGGAATGGTATTATGAACATATTTGTTGGAATTGATGAATATAACACACCGTTCGATTTAAAATAAAGTATCTGGTATGTCATTCAAGAGTTTTAGGCCTTTGACTGTCAGATAAATTAAGGTATTTGTTCAATGTCATGTACTAGCTATAATATGCTCGGATAAAATTACTCCAAACTTATCACTGTTGTGACGATTGGTGAATGTACGCAAAAATGAACTTTAGATTTTGGAAAGTTTCTGGTTGTCATTCCAGAGTTATGGGCCTATTAACAGCCATAATTGGCATAATACTAGAAGGGCATCTTCATGCATGTCTTTCTACAGAGCTATATTTAATTTGCCTCTGATTAATTTCCATCTAGTAATGTCTAGATATCCCATTTAATGTTTACAACAATTTCAAGATGCACGATAAGCCAAAAGTTTATTTAAAACTTAACATTGAATTTAATGACCAAAACTCCCAATCAGAAAATCTTTTTTTCCCTTCTGCTTGGTCAAAATATTTATTTCTTAAAAAGAAAGGCGAAAGATACCAAAGAGACATTCAAACTCATCAGTCAAAAACAAACAAAAACAAAAAAAAGAAAAAAAGTCCAAAAGACATTAGAGAAAAACCCTAACACCTTCTCAGAGTTTAACATTTGTTCCCCACACTGGGTATTTAGACCGTTGAATTGCCAATATTTCTCTACCTCACAGCATAATTAACAGACTAGTCAGATGGTCGTTTTAAAGACATTAACTACAACTGTGTTTATATAAATGCAATGTATACATATTAGTGCATTTGTGAACTAAAGTAAAAACAAACAAAATCGAAAAAAGAAAAAAATTATAGACATTGAAACATTTCATAGTATCCAATGTTTGTTACCCAGTGTTTAATGTTAAAAGGTTAAAGTCAGTTGATGTGTCATTTGTAAATTATTCAAATTATCATGATTATGGCTAGTGTTACAAAGTACATCACTGAATTGAGCTTTCTGTGTTAGTGTAGTTCTAAAGTCCTTTGCATTAAACTCAGTTTATTGCTATGCATATACATTATGTATGAAATTCAGATTTGAAAACCCATATCTACATGTACATGATATGAACTGTAAGATAAGATGATTGAAATATTTTGTATAATTTATGAACTTCTTTAACAATTGTCAGCAAATGGTAATAATGAAGCATAAAATTAACTATTAAGGGAGATTATAGATCGTATTTGCATTAAAACCTAACATTCTCTGTCTGCCGGACAGCCAAATAAAGTAAAGCATAATTAAATACACAAAAAATGCTTATTGCAATACATGTATGATCTCAGGTATTTTTGACAAACATTTTTAACCATCTGTATTGCCTACTGAAGAGTCCCAAGTACAAATGGTTATTCATTTATAAATCATTATTATGTAAAGGTACAAAACTCACAAGGCCTAACTGACTTCTAAAATTGGATAACATTGTTTAACTTTTTTGTTATATCTAAATTTGTGGTACTTACAGCACTGCTCTATTTTTATTTTATAATTTAAAAACTGCATGCTCCTATTTTCAACAACAACACTTTCCTTCAATGTTCATTATTTATATCTTTCCCAACAAAACGAAAATATTTAAACAAAATTGATTCTGCATTTCTTTTTCCCATTTCAAATTCAGTCAAATACTTTAGTCATGATATCAAATTCTTATGTTTCATACTTCTTTTTTTCTCGTGAAGTCAATGATCATGAAAAAATAAGTTGAATTTACCATTTTATTAGAATTAATGTTATATTATTTGAAAAAAAAATATTTTGTTTAATTTTCAACCAGGACTAGGGAGGTCTAGGCAGAAAACATTTCCAGACATACATTAAAAATATAGTTTCGACACCTATTAGCTCACCTAGGGTGAGCCCCAAAGGGTCATGTGAGGTATTGCCATAATACTTTTGATAAATCGTCTGAAAACTTTTCACATTGTTATCTTCTGCAAAACCTTTCCTGCAAACTAAAACCAAAATTAGCAGGAATTTTCATATTTGTAGGTACTTCACAAAATACTTTTTTGGCGTGGATCTGAAATTAGTAATAGTTGCAAAGTGTCAAAATGTATTCTGCTTACATGAAATTGCAAATATCTTGGAATTTCTTTGCATATTTATCTAAATTATTGTAAAAATGATCAATAGATAGCCATAAAGTAATTATGAGTTGTTGTTGCCAATCAAAATACAAGGTGATCACCACCACTGAACACACAATTTAATGTATTAGCTTTCTCAAAGTTCAGCATTACTTTATTTAAGGAAAGGGTTTATGTGGGTGAAAATATACAAGAGACGCATCAGCATACATAATATATCCCAGATACAGCACATGGGCCTTGAAAAATAGTTTTATTCCCAGCTATTTCTTCGGATAGAGAGCATTTAATCCTGAGCTGATCTGTTATATGATGACACGGTAGCTTACTCTAGAGAAGTTTTTCGGCAGAAAAAAAGAAAGCTAATCTTACACCATTTTATGTCTGTAAATGGCAGTATAGAAATTTCATAAGCAAATCCAAAATTTCAGCAAGTTGTCATATCTTTCAGACAAATATTATAGGATGGTCACTTACAAAAAGAGCAAGTTGTTTAAAAACAAACTTCGAACCCTGCACAACGCCAATTTTGAGCTTTTGCTTTTTATCTGAAAAGGCAAGATGAACTTCACCGTTGATCACAGTTTAATATAGAATCCTATGTGAATGAAAAAAGGCAACAGTAGTATACCGCTGTTCAACAGTCACAAATTAACAAAGAAATAGCACAAAAACCATCGGGAGGGGCACAGCCAATACATAAACTCGGTGATGATACACTATCAAACATACTAACACAAATTTAACAATTACTATCCACACTGATCTCTGTCCACACTTGTTGTCTAGTATAAAATCTTATTGCTTTAAAAAAATTCAGAACATGGTGCATTTTAAATGAAATAAAGAAAATTGAATGTTAGTAAGGTTATTTTTGGGCTGGTTCAAATCTAAAATCCATCAGTATTATAAATAAAATCAAAAACATCCTTCCGATTTTCACAGAGGCAATTTTATCATTATATTCTTGAATTTGTCTTAATATTTGCGTTTTTGATTATAACTTCTTTAATTTAAGGAAAACTATAAAAAAAAAAAACAGTAAAAATAGCCTTATTTTGAGATTTTGGCATTACAATTTCAGTATGATTGATTGATTGTTGCTTGCTTAACGTCCAGTGCGTTTTCAGAACGAGAACAAATGAACAACTAACGCAATAAGCACGTTCCCAAAGGTAGGTCTACCTGTGCGTATTCAGAACGAGAACAAATGAACAACTAACGCAATAGGCACGTTCCCAAAAGTAGGTCTACCTGTGCGTATTCAGAACGAGAACAAATGAACAACTAACGCAATAGACGCGTTCCCAAAAATAGGTCTACCTGTGCGTATTCAGAACGAGAACAAATGAACAACTAATGCAATAGGCACATTCCCATAAGTAGGTCTACCCTGTAGGTATTCAGAACGAGAACAAATGAACAACTAATGCAATAGGCACGTTCCCAAAAGTAGGTCTACCTGTGCGTATTCAGAACGAGAACAAATGAACAACTAATGCAATAGGCACATTCCCAAAAGCAGGTCTACCTGTGCGTTTTTAGAACGAGAACAAATGAACAACTAATGCAATAGGCACGTTCCCAAAAATAGGTCTACCTGGTTGAAAGACTGAAAATTTTGATTGCCACTTGAAAGGTGAGGGTATGTCGTATAGGGGCAGACATTTTACTTTTCAACACGCCACCAACAGGTACGAGATTCTACATAGAGTTGTTACAAGGATTCTTAATCGTGTTAAGAGCGCGGCTTTTACCCTATACTGGATATCGGGTTTCATGTTCCCAATCCCACCGTAGGGAAACCACTTCTTCCCTTAAACAAGGAGATATTGCCTGTCGTCACCATAAATATTTGGAAAGAAAGAAAGACATTTTATGTTGCAATTTCATGGGGGAAATGAAGACTATCACACATATAAAAAACAAACTGCATCGATATTTGTAATTGACTTTACAATGGTGGTCTGGCACACGTGCAGACTTGTAACAAGAATATTAAACATTATTTAAATGACGGTAAGTTTAGTTTTATTTTTAAGAAATTGTTCAAATATTTTTATCATACAGGTTGTTCATTTATTTTAAAAAGTGCGTAAATTTTCGTACAAACAGCTTGTTGTTTAATTTGATTTGTTAATTTTTCTC